GGGGGCTCTGGAACTAACTCAGACCTGAAAATGGGGGTCTCTGGAAGCTAATGTTTGTGTTGAATTGTGGATGCTCTGGAACGGGCTATGTTCGAAAATTGGGGTGCGCACATACGCAATACGCACATATTCCACAGCGGCAATAAAGCACACGCACCTGAGTTTCATCATCGGATGTAAATAAACAAGAAGCAGCAGCACGAAATGTTAAAAACTAAGGTCTCCGGAACGGGAGAAAGGTAAGATCTGGCATGGCAACTCAACTTGTGATGCTCTGGAAACAAGATATTTTATAAAATGCGCAATGCACTGGAACGGATAGTCTTAGGGTGAAAGAAGGGGTCTCTCCTCGGCATGCATACCGTACCATGCAATATATATGGAGTACCCCCCCCCCTCTCCCTCGGGGCATCTACTAGAGTATAAACACGGCCGATAGCCTCCAGAGAGGAAATTAGTTGGGCCATGCTGCTCATTTAGGAGGATAAGAAAATTAGGTTATATAATCGAATAACTCTGGGCATAAATTTAAGAAACAGTAGAAAAAGTTATACCTCTACACAAAATCTTATCCCAAAAAGGTTGATTTTTGAAACGCGTGATTCTCATTACTAGCAACGAAACTTTTTCTACGCCACGTATGAAATAATCATCATCACCATCCATCCATCCATTCATACATCCATTTCCATCCATCCATCCATCCATCCATGCATCCTCATCCATCCATCCATCCATCCACCATCCATCCATCCATCCATCCATTCCCATCCATCCATCCATCCAGCCATCACATCCATCAACCATCCATCCATCCATGCCATCCATCCATCCATTCATCCATCCATCCACCATCCATCCATCCATCCATCCATCCATCCATCCATCATCCATCCATCCAATCGCCATCCATCCATCCAACATCCATCCACCATCCCCATCATCATCCAATCTCATCACATTCCACCAGTCCAGCATTTACTATCCACTCCATCCATCCATCCATCCCATCCATCCATCCATTCATCCATTTATAGTGAAAGGGAAAGTTTCAAATCACTTTCCACATATTGCAAATGCTGAGTAAAGATTATGACAGAATCTGAACCTCGCAAGTAAGACACAATCACTACTGGGGACAATTAACGCCCAGGCAGCGGATACAACTAGGCACTAAGTCTCAATTCTATCACACGCACAGTGTCTTGACCGAATGCTGCGTTGGCCGACGTTTTTATCACGTGACATAGCCAGGTTAATGAGAGAGAAATCTAGGGAAATTAAAAGGGGCCTGTTTAGAACAGAAAGTTGTCATCTTCTCTGGCACTAGGTATTGGACGTATTTGAACTTGTTTAATGGTGCAGTTAAAAAGCTACTTTGTTGGCTTGTATTTAGTAACTTAGTAATTGTTGGTATATCGTGTAATTCGTGTATTAATTAGTGTATCATTGTACTCAGGTATTAGAGCTATTTAGTAGTATTTCGATGCCCGTACCTTGACGACCATGTTACGCCGTCATGCCCAAACGTGGGATTATAATATTCTGTGTTATAATGAGCAAACGCTGATGTCAGTTCGCGACCGCATTTTAGCACACCCACACACAGGCTAATTTACACCATACCAAGCGGGTAGAAGACCAGCTGGCTGCTGACACATCACTAAGCTGCTACGATGCACACCGGGGTGCGCGAATCCCGCACACCGTTGTTTCATCGGGTTTCGTTCACACGCGGCCACCGCACGCACACCACATTGCAGCATTAAGCTATTATATTCAGCCTCTATTCTTAACCTTGCCGAGATGGGCGCAGCACATCTCGTCACTGCAGCCTACTCGCCAATGGTCATTCGCATTACGCGTCATCACATTACAACCTGTCCGTAGGCGCTAATAGAGGGCCCTATGCCGTATTCTTGTAGGCCAGCAGTGATTTGGTAATGAAGCATCGTCGGTAGTGGGATCGTCCGAGCTCCATCTTGGCAAGGTCGGGGTATAAAAGAGCCCAGCACGAGAGACAGCCGGGCTCTGGTACACACTCCTCTGTTTACTAGCATTTTATGTGCATTGTGCAAAGCATTAGTCTACCCCTGTGTGAATTGTACGTGTTTTGTAAGTATAAATATAACATGAAACGGCAGTTGTAAAACCATTACGCAATTCTCCTTTTATTTATTATATTTCTAAGTTTATCACGCATTTCATGGGCAAAATAGCTCTCGATATCTCAGAAGCGCACAGCGCCTGACGCGAAAGAGATCCAGCGACCTACACTATTTTAAGTTCATAGCACCAACTGAATGATTGAGCACAACTTGTTGTTGTGGTGATCGCCTAATGTAGGGGCCTAGCCACCCCCTTCTGTTCAATCAAACAATATTTTTAAGACACTTAACCAATTAATTCATTAGCCAAGTGTAATAGTCGCGCGCTGTACAAAACGGCTACCTGACGTGCAGTGGTTAAGATTATGTAATTAGTGGCAAAGCAGGTTACACCCTTTTGCAGCTTTTTCACAGAAACTCCAAGAAAGAGTTTGCTGTGCTCTCATCCAGCGGGCGTCACCCCTACCATATTCAGTAAGTTAAACGCACCTAAACAACGCCCCCCTGTAGGCCTACATCAAGCTCAATGCCGAACTGCAAGCGCAAGAATTGTTCTACTCAAAAATACGAATGTCGTAGTCAGAACAAAGGCTGTACATTTACTACATAAGACGTAATAGATACAATAAGTAACCACAAACCCAGAGAGGATATAGCGAATTGTGTCGGGGTGGAAGTAGGTCGCGTTGTAACCCTATCTCGTCTGGGTTTGGTACATTAATTGTATCTACTAAGAGTAGTGGCAGTAAAAATGACTACCCAGTGTTGAGTCTACAACAACGTACAAAGCAAACGGTACCAGGCAACTAGCCTCAGGTCTCTTACTAAAATTAAATCGCGGTCACTACGGTATAACATTGTACATGGAGCATTGCATTGTATTGTTACAATTGGACATAAAAAATTATATAAACTTATGAGGACACTGACGTACAGAAAACGCAGGTATAAAAACAAGAAAAACAATATATGTATACTATATGTATAATATCAAAAGTGAATAATAATAGATTATAAATATATTAGATAATAGATATATTAATATATTAATAGATCTATTATTATTCACTTCTGATAATGGATCTCGATAATAGGTCTTGATTACGTACTTGATCTATGATGCGTGCTCCTACCACCAGGGTCGCTAGTGTTCGCTTGTTTCCAATATGGCAGTTTTGTGTGCATGTGTTTCCGTAATGCTGCTGTTTTAGATATAATAACGTAGGCATATTCTAGGTCTGATTGGGTGTGTGTATGTTTTCCCATATTATTTAAGTAGGTTTCGCGAAATACATGCCATCATATGCGAACAATATTCAGATCAGGAGTAGATAATAGGGAAGGAGTGTGACTTCAATAAATAAGGGAAATTCGTCATTTACTAGTACTAGCCTTATGTTATAGTTATAATACCTACAATTTACTACACGTAACTCATCCAACTTGAGCTCAAATCGTACACAGTCACATTCCCTAGCATCGTGCGATATCGTTTCCTCTATATACACCAGACAATCCGAGATACAGACTAAAACGACGCACGATTATCCGTTCTTGGCCATCAATCCGACATATTCCCTCGGGCGCACTTGCAAACATAAGACCAGCTACTAACCATGTGGCTCACTCGCAAAGGCGGTGTGGCTCGCTGGAGAAATTTGGAACATCGACGCAACAGCTCGACGAGATAACTTGACTCGGCATAAAGCTAACATACGCGCGGCTAACGCCCGACCCAGCGCTCGTGTGACTAAGCGTCAATACACCGCTACCATCCTCCATTTGAAAAATACTTCTGTAGCTGCTGTAGCAAAAACTTACCGAATAAATTACGTATATTCCAGAATAAAATGATCATCTAAGGCATATTCTGCCTTGTTTTTGCTACTCAAATATAACCTTCACCTTATAGTATCCAGCGTTGGTTAATTAAAACTAATCACTCAGTTTTGCTGTGGCACAGTGTACAATTTCAGAGCCAAACCGAAAATTTCACCTAACCGCCACCACGCGCCATGTTTGGCAATGCGCATGATTTTCGGAACGGCACGACGGAAAACGCGAAGCGAACATAACATACGCATAGCGTTGCTACTTGCGTCGGCGCGAGCATAAAGAAGCAATCATATATACCGTATATATAATACAATATTAAAACAATTGAAGAACAGAAACGTCAATCTACAACAACTTAATAATACTATTCGAAGATATGTACTGTGCGGTTGTATTTGGCTCTACGCACTGTGAACAATCAGCTCCATTTGCCGATTTTAATTGCACTGAACATGAGCCCATTGGCGGCTGTCTGGTGTGATTTGATCGCAATTAATCTCAGAAAACGGCATAACTTCAATAAATAAGATAGCGCCAAGTACGTCCCAGTTACCGCGAGCAAGCCAGAGGTTGTATAGATGTCGTTTGAGCTATTACATGTGACCTGCGTGTGTCGATGGTTGGGATACAGAGCCAACGTACAAAGGAATTGTGGGCAAAGAATTCTTGAAACGGTATCTAACCCTAGCAATACCGTTTCTTCGGAGGCTACAATCTGGCAATACCGGCATACAGCTGTATGCCCACACACGCACGCACGCCCACCGCAATCTCCCTGCGAGCCACACGCCTCGCCGAGTAGGTAATATTGCTATTTTTAGTGCAAGTCGCGGAACCTTCTATAAATGGGTGACACGTGCATGATTTGCACGTGGACTTGTACTGACTCACGTACTTCTGTGTCAACTCATTGCCAGACAACTGACTGTTGAGTTACCAAATGCTTCCGAATTTTTCAGGTTGGTAATCTGTCAAGGCAGTGGTACCGGTACCTTACTGAAGCCTGAAGTGCTCAACAAGAAAGACTCGGTTGTTATCGTTTGCCCTCCTTCGCTCATGAAGGATCTTTATGTCATCATAGGAGTTGAGAGATCCGCATCCTACGATACGATAAAAACAAATTATCAAGAGAAAGCGAAGCAGTTCCACCCGGACAAAGCCGCTGCGAATACCGATCCAAGTGTCTTCGTGAACGTCAACAAAGCCTGGAAGATCCTTTGCAAACCGGAGCTCAGGAGGCGTTATGACGCAGAACTCTACGAATACGAATCAACAAGGCAGTGGCCGGTGAATGAAGAGATCAGCCTCGGCGACTTCGATAAAGATTTTGCGGACGAAGAACCTTTCTACGTGCGGGACTGTCGCTGCGGTGGCCAGTACGTCCTGCCAGAGTGCGAGAGCAGGCAGCGCTCCTGTTTGGTGATTTGCTGTGATACCTGCAGTCTGAGTGTAAGAGTGTTTGTCACAAACTTGCTTGATGATGTTGATGAGGAAGCTGTATTGGAGGCTGTGAAACCACAAAAGTGCAGTGTCTAAAGTAACACGCTGATTCGAATGGTAAGGTGAAGCCAAGATAAATAAACATTTTGTCAAGATAAAAAATAAAAAACAAAATAAATAAAAAAATTTTTTTTTGATAAATTTAAATGATAAATGATTGTAAAACTTGCAAAATTTGTTTATATGTGTTGTGTACATTTGCAGGGCCATGCTTGATACTTGGACTCTAGACAAAATCATGGATAATCGTATGAAGATCTTGGACTTGATCAGCATGCTAGTAACTCCTGTCACAAATCTAGCGACAGCCGAGGACGACTACCTCTCTTTAAACAATATTCTTCAACACAACATGTCCAAGGTTGCGAACGAGATTGAGACTGGGGGAATCGACGACTCTCTCTTGTATGATTTACGAGCGACCCTGGCCATCGCGAAACCAAGATGGCGTTTTGTCGCATCGACCTTGAAACTGCTCGCGCACCTGTCGCAGACACTTGACGAAATTGCGACAGCAGCTTCCGAAACCGATGGTGGAGCATCAGTGAAGCCCAACCAAGCACCCCAGCCCCCGGCGAGCGCACTGAACCCATGTGAGCAGAAAGTGGTGGCCACCGCGCTGCAGTTTGTCGTCCGTCTCGCTATCTACCCGAACCTGGATGCGCATGTCGGCGGCTTGACCCTTGACCCGAAGCAGCCACGCAACACCTGGCAGCTGCATGCGTGCGTGCGCTCGCTGACCAAGTCCCAGTGGTGGCCGGGTCCCGCAGCCGGCGCCGGCCACCTGCGTGACGTTCTCGCGGCACTGCTGCAGCTCTGTTTCGGTCCAGCCACGCACCGGCTGCGGTGCGCGTACGACCGCCGCGCGCACTTGTGCGACGACACCGCCACTGTGAGCGCACCGCAACCGAATTGGCACTTCCCGGCGAACGCAAGTTCGGTGGAAGTGCTGACAGAGGAAGAGTACGAGGAGTGTCGGCGGGACCTGGTCGCGCTGCTAGATTGTACGCATCAGCCGCTTGTGGTTCGTAGTCTACTGATCTTGCAAGGCGGTGACGTGCATAAGGTCAAGAAGCAGCCGGTACCGACGTGGTTGTGGCAGGAGTGCGGGCGACTACTCTCTGAGCTGCTGTTGAAGCCTTGCGGTGTCAGCGCTGTCATCATTGCTCTAGCGAACGACGATGAGGCGCCGTCGCTGGACTGGATGAAGTGCCGGTCAATCACGTGCTTAATAGCAAACCCCCCTCAGCAAGTGAAGTCCGTCAACGACTATTACATGGTCATCTGCGCTCAGCTTCTTGACTTGCTCGCGTTGGACGTGACGACGCGGTCTCGCGTACTGGTGCGCGTCGCGTGCGCGTGCGTCGCCACCATGTGGCGTCGGCAGCCGGTGCTCACGCGCACGTACGTACTGGACGTCGTCATGACACCGCTGCTGATATGCACGGCGCAACACGATTCGTCAGCGGCCGAGCTACTCGCCGACGAGTCCTCTTTGTCGTCCTGCATCCGCGCGCTTCACAGGTTGTTTGCGTCGACGGGAGAGCCAGACGGCAGATTTTTGGTCGCGCTCGCACCGGTGCTGCATCCGTTATTAGCGCTGTTCTGTTTCACCAGACAGGGCGTGTCGCACCTGAAACAACCCGTGCAGGACATCCTTGTGACCTTCTTCAAGCAGGCCGATACAGATTTCGCTCTCAGCTGCCTCATGGAACTCGTGTTCGAGAAACGAACCGAGCGGAACGACCGCCCCGCTTTACCGCGTACGAACTCTCGCGCGGTTATTCAGACGGGTTCCGAGGGCGGCGCGAGAGTTACGCGGGTGTCGTCGTCGCGAAGCATGGACGAGATTCTAGCAGAGATCGACGTGGAAACGCGAGGCGTCGTTGCGCTGCTGCAGATGCTGCCAGCGGACGCTCTGCCGGCCGAGTTCTTCATCAGCGTCATGCAGATGCTGACGGATGCCGCAGGTGTCGCGGAGACGGAGAAGGTGTCGTCGTGGGACTGTGCGCTGCGGGAGGCTGAGATGATGGCGGCGATGTGCGAGTCGCTCGGACCCGCCATGATGACGAAGAAACGCCACGTCGTCGAGTTCTCAGAGACGTTGCTACGACGCTACGCGAACAAATGCTCTCCTGCTGCTGCTGCTGCTGCTGCTGCTGCTGCTGCTGCTGCTGCTGCTGCTACTGCTGCTGCTTATTCTGATGATGCAGAGAGTAACAGTGATGCTGAGGCGGTCATGATGGTTGTGTCCATACTGACGCTAGTGATGGAAGACACGGCGACGACTTCGGCCGACTGGCAGTCGCTGAAGGCGATCTTACCACACCTGCACGTGATCGGTGCCTCGCACCCAGAATCTTTTGTGAAGGAGATGGTGCAAGAGTTAGAGGTAGCCATCGCAACGCACTGCGCAGTTCCCATCTCGAAGAAAACGGCCAGTGAGAGCACCCTTCGAAGCAAACGCACGCGACCTGCGCATGTCGCGAATGTATCGACCTGTAAACTTATCGAAGTTGTGCAAGAGAATGTCAGTGCTAACGATCGAGGTGAGTTTTCCGATCGGACTGGAGAGATCACCAGGAATCACTCGGAGGAGAGGAGTGTGGAGAATACTGCAAGCCGTCCTCGCGACGCATCCATGCCTACGCTAGATGCTTCCGATGCGATCGCGTCTTTGCCTGCGTCCACCGCGCCTCCACCCGGGTCGCCGCCTGCGTGGACGACGGACGAACGTGCGTCCACCGCGCCTCCACCCGGGTCGCCGCCTGCGTGGACGACGGACGAACATGCGAGCATCCCGAGTGATGACGCGCAGTCCACACCGCAGTTGACGTCCGCTGACTTCATGGATGCGTGGAAGGACGCGCTCAGCGCTCTGGCACCGGTGCGCGCGGGCGGCATGCGAGCGATGGCGCGCCTCGTACGCAGCGGGGAAGCGGGCGCGCACGCGGATCGACTCCTCGCTCTGTTCGTCGACAACATGGCCGACGATGACTCGTATGTTTATCTGTCGGCCGTGCAGGGTGTCGAGGCGATGGCAGACGCCTATCCTCGCACCGTCGTTCCCGCGCTCACACAGATGTTCCTCAATGCCTCGAAGGTCGATGAGCAGCCTAAGGTCGTGGGAGAGCCTAAGGTCGTGGAAGAGCCTAAGGTCATGGGAGAGCCTAAGATCATGGGAGGGCCTAAGGTCGTGGGAGAGCCCAAGGTCATGGAAGAGCCTAAGGTCATGGGGGAACATAAGCTCGCAGGGCTACCGGAGGTTGTGGTACAGTCGAAATATTCGGTGGAGACACGGCTGAAGCTTGGCGAGGCACTCATGAGAGCTTCACGCAATCTCGGTAAGAGCTTGTTTGCCGGTCTGCCTTGGTTGAACTCGTTTGGAGAATTAACTATCCATGCACTTGGAAATTGACTCGTTTTGCTGTCATACGAAATACTCGTCTTACTCTCGCGAACTTGCTATTCTACAAGTGTGTTTGCAAAATGAAATTGCAAACTTTAACATCTAGCAAACTTGAGAATTTAAAAAATAAACAAGTTATTTTGATCTGGCACATAAATAAGTAGTTAAAGGGTGTGCTAGTGTAATAATATATATATATTTCAAGAGATATATGAATTTGACTATTCATGTCGACTGACTCTTTCTGTCTGTGTATCGCGATACGTATCGTATCGTTACCTACATATCGAGACTGTATCGATGACCTTGTACGTTACACCTTTAACATATATATATATTATATTGATGTGTATATATATTATGTCACTGCTGAGAGTATCCAACGATTGCGTCCTGCAGGTGAGACATTGCCTGGGTTCATGGAGCTGCTGCTACACGCGTGTTTGCGCGGCGCACGGGACGAGGAGCCCCTCATCAGGGCAAGCAGCTTGTCGAACCTCGCTGAGGTGTGTCGACTCTCACGCTTCTCTCTCGGCCCGGTCCTGCACGAGCTGCTTAGCTGCCTGACAGCCGTGCTGGGGTCAGATCCACAGCCAGAGGTACGGGGAACAGTCGTCGAAGCTAAATAATAGCGAAAAAGCTTGAAATCTAGTCTGATGTAGAAAATTGTGATTTTTGCTATATAACCACAAGTTTGTAAACTCCCACAGCCAGAGGTATGGGGAACAGTTGTGGAAGCTAAATACAGTGGAACGCGTCCCGATTTAATGCGAATTCGGATATAACGCGATGAGTTGTTGGCCCCCCTTTTTTGCTCTTATATAGCCACGTATATATAACCCTGGTTTAGCGTGACCCCACTTTTTTCGCAGTGACATTTTATGGACCCCAACCATCGTGTTGTAACGAGGCTACACTGTAATAGCTAAAAAGCTTAAAAACCCATCTAGTCCAATGTTGAAAATTTTGATTGTTGCTATGTAACCACAAGTTCCGGATTGTAAACTCTATCCACCTTTTTCAATGTCCTCATTGTTATACAAGAATATCTACGGTATAAATCAACAAAGAGTTTATACAGTTTAGACAACAATACTTGCAAGAAGAACTTCATTTATTCTGCGACAATGCGAGTTTGTGAGCTCACGAAAACTGAGTATGATAACATCAGGAGTCTATCAACTATTGATAGACTCCTGATAACATCACGCTGTATTGTATGCAGGTTTCATTGGTGTCATGTTAATAGTGCAGCAGTGCTAGTGATCAAACGTGTTTGTGACTTCGTGACGAAGTTCACAAAGCTTTATCAATATGCTTTGCCCTATAGCTGTGTATGAAAGATTTGTCATCATGAAGCCAATATTGACCCGGTTCGTGTCGTTATTCACGTGCTGCTGATTTTCAGGTGCGCAGAGCGGCTGTTCACGTCATTCGACTACTGCTGCAGGGTGTTGGAAGTGATGTGCTTACCGTCCTGGGTGCAACCATCAGAGCCCTCTACAGGTTGCTGAAGAAGGTAAATTTCTAGAGCTGATGTTATGACGCAGAGTGTATGTTAGTTGTATGTCGTCGCGCCTGTGAGGATGAGTTAGACGGTTTTTGCTTTGTTCTTACGTGGGAGTTTTCAGTACTGTCACTGTACAAGTTTTTCTTGGTTATCTATTTATCGCACGTGTGAGAAATTTCTGATCGTTCTGCGGTACGTGGTAGATAGGCTCATAGGGTCTATGTCCCCCAGGGTACTGCCGGAACGTACCCTGGGTACGGTCCGGTATACCGGAACGTACCCTGGTCACTATTTGATATATATGGTTAGGCTATTTGATATAGTTAGGGTTAGGGAGTAGGCGTAGGCGACTCCATAGACTCGTTAGTGGAGTAGGCAAGGTACGGTCCGGCATATTAGATAGTACCAGGGTACGTTCCGGCAGTACCCAGGGGGACATAGACCCTCTCAGCGGTAGATAGGTGTGTAACGATTAACCGCGATTCAACCCGTTCGGTTCGGTTTTCGTTTTTTTTTTTTCGTTTCGGTTCTCGGTTCGGTTCCGGGAAATACATTCAACCCACTCTCAGTAATAGTCTATTTTGTCCAGGTAGATCACTTTAATGAATAGTATTATGACTATTATCCTTGAACTGTATTACTTTATTGTCTTTTGGCCAATGAATAACACAATAAATGTATAATATTATGATAGGTATTATTATTATTCAAAATGGAGGGAAAATTTCCCCATCTTCTCAGCATTTTAAATTTTTTATTACTGAAAATAACCGAACCGAATGAACCAAACCGAAAACCGAACCGAACCAAAACAAAATGTATCGTTACACCCCTAGTGGTAGATGTAATCTCCGATTACTTGTTTTCAGGTTTACGAAGAAGATGTGGATGATGTAGTGAGGCTCCACAGTCAGCTAGCCCTCGAGGAATTAGACGTTGTTATGCGAGAACTGATCTTCCCTAAACAAAAACTTGAAAAGAAGATTAGAATACTGGAGCCATTTTAAGACTAAAATGTATACTAACTACTAACTAATATTGTACTTGTCTTGTTTGTTACTTGTATAGAACTGATCTTCCCTAAACAAAAACTTGAAAAGATTAGAATACTGGAACCATTTCAAAGGGATCGTTTACTCTAGGTTCTAGGGTTATTTTCAGTTAATTTAGGTTAAAATTATGCTTCATAAAAAGTTTCATGGTTTAATCACCATTAGAAATATTATTAAAAAATGTTTTAAAACTAACAACTACAGTTTGGTTACAACGACGGTGGCGCCACTCAAAGCGCACTATCTGATAAGTTGCGCAAAACCACTTTTCAGCCAAGGGCTACAGACCGAGGGTGTTTCTTATTTATTAATTTAAAAGCAAAAGGATTGTAATATCTCTTGTAATTTCGTAGCGTTGATGTGTAATTAATTATAACAATTAAATTAGGTATCTGGTAACAAATACGTGTGGGTATATAGACAATTTGTTATACAGTAAGTACAGTTGTATGCAGTAAAATCCTAGAGTCTACTATCGCTTAAGTGGTGTTTTTGACTAAAATGTATACTAACTACTAACTAATATTGTACTCTCTCTAAATCAGGACTTGTTACGACGTTGGTTCACTGTTTTATAGTGTTGGTAAAATAAATGAGGTTGTTGCCTGCTAAGCATAGCAAAATTTGACTTGTGCTTCATGCTGTTCTTTTTATGCACTTATTTGCATACGAAAAGTAAACAAATGCCAGCAGATACCATAAAAACTAGAACTGCACATACAAGTTTTTATTAGATCAAAAATCTCCATCCACAGCGGTTTGGTTTACAGAGTAGCCGAGTAACGAATTCCCTACAAATAATTACACGAGTGTATGCCAGCTGGTTTACTTATTTACACTAGGGAGAGACTGCATAATAATGTATTAGAAAAAATATACAGACATGGAGCTAGTCTAGAAGACATGACCCATTGTGTATTGTAATGTAGTCATGAAGTATTGTGGGACATGTCTTCTCGACTAGGGCCGACATAATTCTAAAATATCTGGGTATTGTTCTGGAAATCGTTTCCCAGGGAAAATAACTGTTTGATATTTGGGGACAGTAAATATACTCTCTCCAAACCAATGGGGCTATATCAGCCAATTTAAATCAAAACCGTGTGGAATTAATTCGCGGCAATAATTGAGTATCCATCGTACATGTACATTCATGGGTGCATAATCATTTACTCACTGAATCTTCCATCACTAAAATCTAATTAACTACAAAAGAAGGAAATAGTCGAGTCTGACTACCATATAATAGACGTTCGTAAAACTCCAGGGAGATGGATTTGTTTGGGTTTTCACAGAGATTTTAGTTTTCTTCTCGAGTTCTTATTCCACAAAGCTTTCACGTACGATATGAGTGTAATTTACACTCCCGGTAATGGAATTCTCCTCCCAGAATGACTCCCAGAACTCCTTGGCAAGTTCACAACACATCTGTCTATCCTGAAAATGTTGCTCGCTTGTGCATATCAACTATACCATGCCCAGTTTAACTATGGGAATTTCTACGCGAACACGGCATTACTCATAATGGATAGTGTGGATTTTAAACCTGGAATTCCAATTTCAATCTGCTATGGACACCATCACAACGTTATCGCCCTTGACGAACATTTGGTTGACATGCCGTTGCAACAGATTGGCAGAATCTCCAAGTCCTGGACACTGAACCAATGCCTCCGTCACACCCTCACGTTTGCTAGCGGTGCACTCTTGTGACGATTTCCCCTCGCTGCCATCTGCATCGTTCGCGCGAGGTTTGCTCGGCTTCGTTTTTGTGGCATCATGCCTGCGGGAAGACTTAGAGCTTCGTTTCGGTACGTCCGTACCACTGTCAGAGATCGGCCGAGTCTCACTTCGGGTTTTACCATCGCCCGAAGCCTCCAGTTCGTAGTTGCTCAAGCCGGCCACACTCTGGATCTTACGTTGTTCGTTGCGCTTGATGTCTATGCCCTGAGACTTCTCTTTAGCACCATCCATGTGTTTGCTCCTCTTCCGGTCTAGTTCTGTGGCCTCCCTGACCCCCTTGTCGGACCTAGACGTTAGCTTTGCCTTCGTTTTCGCCTCCGATCGCCTCTCCCCCTGATCCACATCCCTCGATTTTTCCGTTTTCGGCTCCTTCAACACCCTCTTGTCCAACTTCGCTCGGAGATCTGTCACTCCAGTGGCGCCCTCTTTGTTCGTGCGGCTCGTCGACGTTGATGCCTGAGATCTGTCGGCGTCGCGCGATGTCCGTCGCGCGTCGGTCCGCGCGGACTCGGGTCCCGGCGACGCCCGCCGCTGCGTCTGGTGTTCTCGTCTGCCGTCCCTTGCTGCTGCCTCGCCGCCATCGTGCCCCCGCTCTCGTGTCGCCGGAGACCGGCGCCTCCTGGAGGGGTCGGTGCGCGGCGCAGGCGCGTCGGGCGACGCGCGTCTGTTCAGCATGCGTCCGACGAACGACAGCTGCCTGCTTGGTTCGTCTGGCGAGCTGTTGCGCCAACTGGCGCCCTCTCTTGACGTGGACGACCTCGCCGAGTCGGCGCGACTCGACCTTGCCGACCTTCGCCATTCGGTCGCCGGCGACTCGTATCTCGGGAAGTTGTCCGAGGACGGGGAATCGTCCCAGGCCGAGCGTCCCCGCCGCCGCGATCCCTCCAACGACGCTCGCTTCCCGGAGACTTCGAAGCGAGGAGAATCGTCCCGGGCCGACCGCACCCTGCGTGCCCGCTCGAGCGATTCCCGTTTCCCGGACGCTTCCGGCCGCGGGGTGTATCTCCTTCCTGACCGATCGGACCGTGGCGATGTGCGAGAGCGGCTCAGCGAGCGCTGCCACTGCGCCGTCCCCTCCTGCCTCCTTCTCGACGCTCTCTCACCGCTCAGTGGCGCCATCTCCTCCTGAGTCCTCCTCGACGCTCTCTCACAGCTCAGTGGAGAGAACGACGGAGATCCTCGAACCCTCCTCGCCAACTTTCCTTCCGGTTTCTCTCTTCTCCTCTCCTTCGACGTGGAACCGGGCGAGAAGTCGCGCGCGCGAACGTTCGGTCTCCGCGCGTCCGCCGGGGAACTTCGGCCCGATGACTTGTACGTGTCGTGGCCGAGGCTGCGTCGCCGTGACGACGGCTCCTCGTGAAACACGCGTCGTCCCACGAAGCTCATCTGATGCGAGCTCTCGTCGTCGGAGTACCCCGCCTGCGAACTTCTGTCCCTCTGCTTGCCAGAAGAGCGGCGATGTGAGACGTCTGATTGCGATCCGGTCTGGGACGACGCCCTTCGGTCTTTGTTCGATCCCGTCGGAACCCGGTCGTCTTCCCGGCGTTTGTCTCTGGGCTTTCCCGAGTCTGCGTACTTCTGCGTGTCGGCTCTCGCGACTTCCTTCCCGTCCCGCTTTCGATCGGCTTTGTCTCTCTCCACGACTCGCGTCTGCGGTCTCTCGTCCGAACCCCGCCTCCTTCTCTCCGACGTCGGCTCGGCTTTCCTGCTCGCTTCCGATTTTTCGGCGCCGCTTGCCTCTGGCTTGTGTCTGCTGCTCGACTGCTTCACTAACGATGCTGCGACTACATCCTCCGCTAACGATCGTCTGCCAGTCAGCGAACCGGCCACAGCGCCTCCCTCGTCGCGTCGCCGCGACTTATCGACGCCTTTTTCCCGCTCGGCAAGCCGGGATTCCGCGCCTCGCGACTTCGTCTCGACGTCTCGCGACCTCGTCTCGACGTCTCGCGACTCAAGATGCCATCTCGATTTTGACTTGTCTGACCTGGGGTCGGAGGGTGAGCGTTGCCTTCGCTCGGCGTCTGCAGTATCTGTCTTCACGGAACGTGAGATGCTCACACGGTCGTCTCTCGCTTTCTTGTCTGCAGCCGCGACTTCGACCTTGCTGACGGTGACTCGCCGTTCCTCGCTGGGCTTCCCCGCGGAGGATACACGCTTGTGCTCCTTCGCTGGGTCCTCGTCTCGAGCGTTTCTCCTACTTTCGCCAGATGGCTTCGAGTCTTTAATAAGCTTCGGCTTTTCCGGGAAAACTTTGGTTTTTTGCGCAAGAGGTTGGGTCGGCGCTGGCTTTTCGTGCTCTTCGTGGATGTTGGCCTTTCTCCGCTTTTCAGGATGACTGAGCTTATCCGAGGATCTTTCGAGCTTTCTTTTCCGGCTGGTTTCATCTGTTGTGGTATGCTTCTTTTGCTTATCTCTGTTCCTTTCCTTGTCATCCGTCAATCGCGTTTTCACTTCGCTCGAACTGTTGCCACCAGCACCTTCGGCATGCCTTCGTTGTTTTTCGACCGTGTCTGCTTCCGTTCCTCGCTCGTGTTTCTTCTTCTTCTTCTTTAAATCCTCCTTGGATGGCTTCCCCTTCACCTTGCTTCCTGAGGAGGTAGAGCTTGTTTCGTGGTACGTGATATCCCTGCTGTGACGACTCACCACAGGGAGCCCTGAAGCTTTCCTGTCGTTTGATGAAGCCCTGTTCAGCTTCTCCTCGACCAGATCGCCAGACTTTTGCACCGGACTCGACACCGGCCTCTCCCCGCCGTCTCTCGACTCGCTCGTCGTTGCCGTGACGACGGCAGACTTCTTCTGCTTCTCTTCCTCGGCGAGCAGCAGCAGCTCCTTCTGCAGCATCTGCAGCTTCATCGCGAGCTTGTCGAGGTCCTCGCCTTCACTCTCCTCCTCCTCCGCGAGCTCGCCGTCCGAAAGATCGTTGGCTTCACGCATCTCATCGACGGCCTTCACCATCGCCTCGGTACCTCTGGCTCGTGGCTTGCCGTCAGAAGCGGTGCGCCCTGCAGGCTCCGTAGCTGCCGGCTTTCTGCGATGAGTAGACGCTGCCTTAGCTTTGTGGCTTTCACTGCGGGAATTGTCTGCGTGAGTAGATGCCACCTTGGTTTCGTGGCTTTTACTGCGATAGTCATCCCTGTGTGTAGATGCTGCCTTAGCTTTGTGGCTTTCACTGCGGGAATTGTCCGTGGGAGTAGACGCAGGCTTTCCTTTGTGGCTGTCTGTGTGGGACTCTTTCATGTTGGTAGATGGTAGCTTTCCTTTACGACGGTCACTGCGTTCGTCTTTGGTGTGAGTAGAAACACGGGCAGGCGTTTCCTTGTCGAACTTACTAGCGATGCTGCAGTCCACCTCAGCCCCTCTGTCAGCACGAGTGACATGGGAGGTGGTGTTTTCGTCACCCGACGAACTCGATAGTTCACCTTCGGATAAGCTCTCGTCCACTTGCTTGTTCATGTTCACATCACAGCCAATATTAGAGCCACTGTTACCGGGATGGCCAGCGGTAGACGCCGACTTTGTGCCAGACTTGCTCCCACCCAAACCCACGTCACGTTCCTTGGCGCCCGATTGCACTTTCGCTTCCATTCTGGTCCGAGCCGGTCCTTCGGACGAGCGATCCCTAGCATTCGACTCGCCTGTTCTTTCCAGGGTTACATCCAACGCTTCCTCGCTCATGCTGTCGTCGCCACTGCTCTCTGAGCGGGTGTGCATACTCCCAAAGCTGGATGCGATGCTACCCTCGCGGCTACCCCGCGAACTATCGGGCGCGGCCGCGGCTGCCATCTTGATGTCATCGCGTCCATGTCGCCGTCCATCGCCGGAATCACTCGATCGTTCGCTCGTACGATCACCGTCGTCTGACGGAACCTTGCTCCGGCGACGACGGCTCGCCTGCTCCGCGACGTTGCGTTTCTTCGGGGTGCGATCGGAGAAACCCTCGGTGTCCGAGATGCACTCGTTCTCGCTCACGCACAGCGCTAGCACGTCGTCCTCACAGACTCCGCCCGTCTGCACGTCACCGCCACCGTCACTCGCGATATTGTCACAGTCCATCCGCTCGGGCGACAACTTGTTCGCGGCTCCCGCCGATGATTTCCTCCTCTCGCCGTCTCTCTCGCCGAGTTCCTTTTCTGGTTTCCTTCTACCCTCGTCTTCTTTTCCCGTGCGCTTTGCGGCGACTTTCGATTTGTCCGCTGGCTTCCCCTTCTCATCGGAGGTGCCATCAAGCTGCGGAATCTCATCTTCTGCATCGTCGTCGTTGTCGACGCTCGTCGTCCGCAAAGGCGTTCTTTTGTTGGTGGTGTTATCGTCGCGGCGACACGCAGTGACGTCCCGTCGGCATTCTCCTGCGTGCTTCGATCGGTCGGTGCTGGCGCCGCGGTGGAGCTGCCGCGGTTGCAGCGCATCTGCCACGATGCTGCCACCAGGTGGCGCCCCTGTGGGCGGCACCTTCATCTCGACTGCCTCGCGACCAATACGATCGCCTCCTGGAATGATGTTCTCTTGTTCTCCGCCCGCAGAACGCGGCCCGTCGTCGTTCGACAAGACCGGGCGAGCGCCGCCGCTGGATCGATCCATCGTCAGATCGTCAACCCGGCCGTCAAGTGTCAATCCGCTACTGTCGAGCGTCGTGTCCTGGCTGCGGCTGTCCGTGTCACTCTCGGTGACGCCGTCACCGCCGCCGACGTTCGCCATGCAGACGAGCGTCGTCTCTCTGTACTCCCGCGTGACGCCGAGATGCGCGCCGCGCGATTCGTCGGCGAGCCGCTGCGTGCAAGAGAGAACGTGCGTCCGCCGCCTCACAGGGATCTCCTCTCGCGACGCCGGTACCTCGCGATGCTGGTCCGCCTGAACCAGTACGTCGCCGCCGACGCCGCCCAACAAAGACCTGCTGTAATTCTCGGCGGATATGAGTAGATTCGTGTTGGGGTTTCTTCGTGGCGAAGCTGACGGGTTCTCCTCCGCGAGCTCACGATGGGCAGTGATTGGAGATAGAGTGTCAGTGGTAGTGAAGACGGAGACCTCAGCCTTACCGGACGAGGAGCTAGCAGACTTGGCTGGACTCGCCTGAAGGTCGATCACAAGAGAGCTACCATCAGACGTGCAGCCTGGCGAGACGTTACCTGATGCTGCGCTGCCGGTGATGATAGCATGACCGTCTGTTGGTTTTTGAGCATTGTTCAGTTTGGAATATTGCAGATGTGGCGGCGTGTCAGTTTGCGCTGACGCTAGACAATCCACTGGAATACCTACGGAGAATTCTATCGGATTCTGAGCAACTGCGATCGGTTTCACGTCATGAGCAAAGTGTGTTTGGGTCACGAGATCTGATCGATGGCCCAGAAAGTTATAAATGTCATCACTGCTGTCGCTATCACATACCAGCTTTTCAGGAGTCATCCCGGACTGCAACAATCGACCAGCGGCTTTAATCGGACTAAGCCCAAACACCGCACTCTCATCATAATGCTCTGGATCTGAAGCCTCGGATAATTCGACATCCGATTTCAAAGTCGCCCCGGAGCAAGCAAAGTCGAGCAAATCTGTCGCCATGACTACGGGCTTATGCTTTTGCGGAACAGTACGCGGCTGAACGAATGCATCGTCACCGCGCGAAACGACGTGACCATTCACGGCCACACTTCCCTCCCTCGCCGTGTTACAATTTATATCCACCGTGCTGCTGCTGCTGTCACCGACGACTGTACCACACCCGGCTATTTCCTTTATGCCAGCTACGCACGGGAGATCGCAATGTTTCTGAACAGCAACCGTAATCGCCTCAACCGTAGATACACCCTCTTTATCTGGCTTCTGACGGTGTTGGCTGCACGCGACAGGTGCCGGTTTGTCAGACGCTGTCTTCTTTACTGCCGAGGTTTCTGTTGTATTTCGCAAGACGTAGGCGCGAGCCTTCTCCTTCAGCTTCGCTTCTCGGTTTGGACGCTCTACGTCAACCGGCTTCTTGGCTGCGTTGTTTTTGGAGATGTCTCGGTCCTCTACAGAATTGACAGGGTTGGTTAGAGTAGCACCAAAGGCTGTTGCAATGTGATCAAGGGTGTCAGTAGTTCCCACTCCTTCACGATCATCAGACGGCTTGGAGGCTAATGTGGCAGAAGCATCATCTACTGGAATCCATGGTGATAGCAGATTCACAGGTTGCTGTGTTGCTCTTCTGTGTCTACGCTTCTTGTCCTGCCTCTGTTTTAAAGGGAGACCAAATATGGTAATTCCACAGGAGAAGAAGCTACGATTCATCAATACTATTGTGCCCATGGCCTCAATTAATACAGATCATTTTAGAACACAGATGATCTGAGCTTCATACTAGAATGTGTCTTGCACTTAAACGGTTTATCAAAGCAAAATATCGATAACTAAATAAAAGTTCTTTCTTTGTGATCATAACTTCAGATATGATTACAAAGAAAGAAAGTTCGGGTTAAAAAATTACTCAATACCTTTATCTTTTTTGCAATCTCTTCCTCTGCTTTTTTACGTGCCATAGGATTGATATATACTTCGTCAACATCTACCATGGCCTGCAATGTAAAGCATGATCTAAATTGACCAAAATTTAAAAAACATAACTCTTGACAAGTGATCACTTCACTGCATATAACTAGGAATACTTTACGTTATTAAACAGTACACTTACTTTCAAAACCATTTTAGGACACAACTTTTAAATGCCAATTGATTAAAGCTCTATATGTGCACCTATCACTTCTTAATGAGATTTCAAATGAGATGCATACAAGCTTCTGCACACAGAATGCTGCCTTACAAGATTCCAATGCTTGTCAAAGGCAACAATGTACCCCGTACATATACCACGAATGTGGTTGTAGCTTCTCGTCCAAACTTTAACTCGGATTCGTTCCTGAACGCACTTGTTCAGCACACCAAGAGGACCAGTCGCAGCTGCAAGCAGTAAATTAATTGCTAAATTTAAAATTCACTACAAGTGAATATTGATTGTTCAGTGGTACATTTACATTTACTGAGTATATTATTCAGAGTGGCTATATGCCCGGCAGCCGGCATATATCTGACGGCTGCCTGGCACGATCTTCAATTTCCTAAATGCCCGGCAGTTTTTAATTTTCAGCGTTATCTCAAGTAAACAAGGGTTAGGGTTAGGGTTAGGAACTGCCGGGCATTTAGGAAATCGAAGACCATGCCCGACTGCCGGGCATATAGCCACAGCGTATATTATTAGCCTTTAAAAGCAAAACAATACACTAGTACTACAACCACATTTCATCCACACTGTGCAACTGTTGTATTGAATGGATGACCATGCACCATCTACTGACTTCCTACACCAAGTTTACGAGGGTATTCGAAGGGCATTATCTGCTAGACAGTTTTAAACATGGGCATTAGGGGTCAACAAAAAACTTACTTCTGAACAGAAGGTGAACAGACATATATAATTTGTGACGATATAGGAATAAACACCAGGTGGACAGATTTTATCACTGTACAACTACCGTACACGATATTATTAAAGCCGCACAATGCGCATCCAAACGCTAATTTCTCCAGTACTAGACTAGTAAATACTTCGTGTCATGCATAATCACACTACCTTATGACAAAAATAAACTCTAGTTCCTCCCATTTCACTGCGCGTTGTCTTATAAAAGGTATTTGAAAATACCTCTAATGTTGTTCAAATTCTCCGATGTTGTTGACAGTTTCCCCAAGCAACCATGCAGCGGTGCTGCGGTACAGCGGTACGGGTATAGCAAGGTGACGTCACCTAACCACTTCAAGGCTAAATTGTTTGGCCAACAAGTTGGCGTTGGCGCCAGAATGCCAGTTTTCTCATCTCTTTCTTGTGGGTTTTAAGCAAACACGCAGTGAAATGGGAGCAACTACAGTTTATTTTGTCACAAGGTAATGTAAATGTGATTATGCATGCCACGAAGTATTTGGATTTATGCCACGATTTATTAGCGTTTGGATGCGCACTGTGCGGCTTTAACAGTATTAATACTATACTATAGTATTATTATATTAATATCATTAATGATCAAACTTACATGTCATATGACGCAATACATTTTTCTGTGCATTTTTTGTAAACTTTCCATGTGGCTTAGAACTAGAAACCGGATTTTGCTTCTCAAGTTCATCTGCCGCCAACAGTTTTGCTGACATTGTATCAGTACTGACACTGACAGTAGTACTAGTACTACTACTAGTAGTAGTAGTACTAGTAGTACGACCAAACAATGGCAATGATCCACTTCTTTTTTTTACGACTTGCTGCAACTGCTGGGTTGTCAACTGACGTGTTCCTGTACTCGAGTCTGACATATTCAATAACGTAGATAACAGCCGTGTCACGTTAAATACGGTAGTAAAAAAAGTTATATTCTATTTCTGTTTTTTAAACGCTTTACTGTCCTCATTTTGGTCATTAGCACTTATTCGTCTTTGGTGGGAGCTGACATTTTTACGGAGTTGTCCTGACACCTGTCGACAAATAAAATAAACTATTCTGCATCAATTACGTGTTTATGTAATGATAATACGTTAAAAACAAAGGCTAAATACAGAAAGTAGTATTTGACTATTGAATGATTATTTATTAGCTTTATTTTATGAAAATAGAACATAGCGGTATCGACTACCCATACTCCATAGATGATAGAGTACATTCAGTGATTCACGCTTAGCAACGTCAAAGATGCACGCGATCAGCAGCGGCTGCTGAGCAGCGGCAGCGGAGCCAGCGCTGTAGTTCGGCACAGCCACACAGGTTAACAAATTTCGTTGAAAATACGTTGTATTCGTTGTACTCCACAAATGTAGGTGATATATTTATTGCCGTAGTTAGTAAAAGAACATTGCTCACTGAGTCGTGATATTTGAGTGTTCGATTACTTGCATTGTCACTGTATCACTATCATTGTATCAAGCAGGTAAACATGCCACCAAAAGTGAAGAAAAAAGCAGCGGCAAAGAAAGAAGAACAAATCAAATCTTCGCCGTCGCGTGCCAAGGAAGATTGTCTGACATTGGAGTATGTTTTCTGTTTAAGATAAAACTCCCGGGTTACAGCTAGGCTAATCAGCTCGTGCAGTACAAGTCTACCCGCTCTACGTTGTCGTTTTTCTGTTGTAGCAGCATTATTAATATTTTCGACAGATTATAGACAGTCGTCTGCTAATGTGACATCTCTTATGAGAATGATATTTTACAGATTGACAAGCGTTACGGAAAGGCTTTCTTCACTAATGAAAACAGTTGCAGAATTGTAAGTATACAGGGAACAGGCACTTGGAACGTTTCAATAATAACATGATGGTAAATAAATTTCATACGACATGTATATCCTATTTACTACTAAAGTCTCAGTGTTTACGTATAATTGAATTCTTTAGTCGACTAATAATTCCACGTAAATTATATAAATGCCGTTCAAATTCTGTTTTGAAATACACAATCTCACCGCCCGCACGTCACCATGCACAAAAAACAGAAATATACTTCAGCCTATAGTTCAGTTATAGAAATATAGCTGTGAAATTATGTTACCGAAGCGCATTTGAAAGATATTTACAGGGGATTATTACTATATCGACAATAGACTAAAGAAAGTAGAAAAACATTACGACTTTGGTAGTAAATACATTTCATGTTTATTTACCATAATTTTTAGCTTGCCTTGACATCGTCAAGATGAGCTATTGCCATGGGGTATCGTCCGTCGTACGTCCGTCTGTCCGTCCGTCAACATTTGGCTACGGTCAACAATAACCCAAGAACCGTTTGACCCACATGTTTCAAATTGCATAGTTGTTACTCCTATGGGAGAGGTTTGAACGTTCTATTTTGGAGCACGCCAGTTGACCTACATTCGAGCCAAGTCCACTTTTTGGCAAAAATGGAAATGGCCACAAGTCAGTTCATGCAGGTTCAGTGGGTTTTGCTCATTTCTGGTATGTGAATGAATAAGGACTGCATGGCCCCAAAACATATCACACAGGTTTTGATTTTTTTTAAATTATGCAAATTAGGTAGATTTTGGCAATTTCACTATGCATTTTAGTGTCTGCCTACGGTCAACGATAACTCAAGAACCGTTTGACCCACATGTTTCAAATTGAATACAGTTGTTACTCATATGGGACAGATTTGAACTTCCTATTTTGGAGCACACCAGTCGACCTATTTTCGAGCCATGCCCACTTTTTGGCAAAAATAAAAATGGCCATCTAAATTCATTCTATTTTGTTTCCCAAAACAGTTGGTACTCCTATGGGAGAGATGACAACGCCCTATTACGTTTATTTTGTCTAACTGATCAACAACTCTACAATCATACCTATATATATTATATATACGTGTAATACTGTGTTTTAGATTCTTCGTTACACTCATTTGACTGGAATATTTTATTGTTTTTATTTGCTCGATATTCGAAAACCATAATGGCGGTCATTTAGGCGTAATCTCTCATCAAGATTTCAGACTTTCAGATCTGAAACATTTATTTTTGCATCAAAACTTATGCATATATCATTATCAAGAGTATATAATGGGAGATATGCTATATAATTGAAGTTCTCTCATATATACCCTTGCTTTATATATCCCCCCCCCCTCCCTCTTCCTATCACACCCAAGGTGAGCTACAGTGTCTATTAATTGACA